CCTTCTAACAAATATTCTAATTTTTTATATTAATATTTTTATATTTTAATAGACTTATTTTTAGGAATTTTGATTGCAATTCATAAACAAAAAAATTTATCAAAAATTTTTATTAAGTATTGTTTTTAATGTTGTTGTTAAGAGTGCATTTTCTCTAATACTCATTGCCAGTACTAAAATCTATAGTTCACGTTACACATATAATATAGACTTTCAGTATTGGCAGCGACTGTGGAAATACTCGGGATGCAACGCGTAAGAGTAAAGTACTATATATTTTTCAATATTTAAAAAATTATATTTAAATAGAATATTTCTATCTAATTTTAATCTAATAAAAATAATGCGATGTATTGAATATATCTAAAGATAATTGGGAACTAAAGTAACGATAAAAGTAACGATAAAAAAGACTGAATTCGTTATTGTAAAAATATTACGTTATTATTACTGTAACAAAAAAAGAATTGTTATAAAAAAAGTAATAATAACGGTTAACAACGCAAGTAATTCTTAACCCTAATAAAGAATGCCTTAAAATGCTGTTTAACAAAAAATAATATTTCGTAATTTGGAGATTTTCATATTACAATATTTTTAAATATGGAGCGTTTCATTACGTTTAAATAATTTTCGTTGTTTGTTGTATTAATATGAGAGCATAAATTAATGAAGATCTGTATTTCATATTATAATAAATACGAGACAAGTGTGTTGCACGTATTATATCGTTTAACATTTTGAGCAGCAGCGTATATATTAAATGTGCATACCGTGTCATCATTCGAATTGTCATGATTGTTTACGGCATCATGCGCCACATTTACATGTATTTTCATATTATATACACTCTGGTGAGTTTCTCCCTGCTTTTTGCATTCAACCCATCGCACCCGATCGTAACTCGTGACTTTATTTAATCGATTCGCTGGCATTCTCCTGTTATGGGCCATCGCTCAGGTTATCGACATTCAGCCAACCTGCCAATAACGGCCAATATTCGACGTAAATATGCATTTACGCCCGCAACAGGCGCAGTCGAGACATATCCTCGTGCTGATATTGCGAACTTACAGCGACCGTACATTCCGAATTTTTCGATACGTTTCTGAATAGAGAGTACGTTTTTTATTATTTCAATTTATTGAGAAAGTCGTACATTTCGTGTAGAGAGAGAGAGAAATAATATCAGAGACAAAATACGAAATTTATTATATTTTTTGTTAAGAACATTATATCAAAATATATTATAAAATTTTTAATCTTTCTAATCATTAAATATTGTATTTGCTTCTTAATTGAAAAATAAGTTAATTCTTTCGTCTTTCTTTATATTGTAATTTATGCATGAATTAAAATCATTACTAAATGGTTTTAATTTCCATGAAACAATTTCTTAAAATTGTAAGTTCTTAGGAACTGCTTTGAAGAACACGCCAATTTTTACTCTTCTGTTTTTATTACAACAACATAACGAATACTGATTTAACTTTACAAGCCATTCCATTTATGGTTACCGTTTACAGTTCTTCGCGCTTTGTACTCTCTTTTAACTTTGATAATGATAATTTCTATAGCTGCGCTTTATGCTACCGAAGTTCGCGGTACTATCTGACATTGTCGGATGTGTTGAATATCTTCATGGTTATTTCGTCGCAAGTAGAAAGAGAAAAGACGGGTGAGAGAATGGAAAAGTCGAGAATGAAAGAAAGCGAAGATCTCGCGCGGGGAGCACGATGATGAAAGTCACGTTGCTCGTTCGCGACCGAGGATCACCAAGTTAGATACTAACTCGTGATGACAAATTTTTCTGAGTTTATACCGTAGAAGAAGCACCTTCACTGTGTTCAGATATGTGATGTTCAGAGCCAAAGAAATAAAATGAGAAGATGTCTTCTACTAAAAAATTGAGGTGGAAGTTCCACGTAGATTGCCTTATTCGGTTATCTCGGATCTCATTGTTCCTCTTTCACCCGTGTCTTATTATTCCTTTTTTCACACGTGAGCTTTTTGATGATTATTGAAATCTTATTCTTCTTGAATAGAGATTCGTAAATTTGTGTTATAATAAACATTTACTCTCTGATGTGCGATTGAAAATTCTATTTAATATATTGTATTTTAATATATTTATTATATTTTTAATATACTGACAATTGTCGAAAACTATTTAATGCGAGAACAACTGTCGAAAACGTTTACTCACGTACTTGCTGTTACAATATATGTAAATCTGAATAAGTATATTTCAAAAGTTGTTCAAATTTCAGCAACGCTGTAAATACAAGAAACTTACGTGGGGTATATCGAAAAATTTGACATACCGAATACTACTCTTTTATAAGTCCCGTCACGTAACGCCAACAGAAGTTCCATTTGAGAACACCGCGGACGTAAAGCCCGCTGCAGTCGATTGTTCTACGAAGACGAATTGGAGCACTTGTGCAGGTAATCCTGACTTTCATCGAGTCAGCGATAGGTGAGCACAGGAGTTCCCCGGACCTCCAGCAATTCCGGCAATCTTCGAGAGATCCGACACAGAATTCACGGGGTTGCGACAGAGGGAAGAAAGGAATATACGAGCGCACAATCCCACGACGAAGTCGCACGTCAAAAGGGATCAGTATGCCGCGGAGCGCGAAATTTTCTTTTCCGCACGCGACTCTTCGCCGTCATCTCGTGCCTCTGAAGCTTCCTTATTCCTTTCTCTTTTCCCCGCACATTTCGATCTCTTCACCGTTTGGCTTCATCGGTCGCCTCTTCTTTCCTACTTGCACCGATGCGTCAATTCCGTTCTCCTGATCGTGGGAATTTTTCCTTTTGCCCGAGGGAAGAAAAACTGATCAGGAATTCCGGTGGAACTGTTGGAAGCGTGTCTCGGATACCGAGAAGAATCTATCTAGCCAGTCGTTCGTCAGCTCGTCACTCTCTCTTTTTTGCTCTCCGTCTCTCTCTCTCTCTCTCTCTCTCTCTCTCGGATATGAAAATCGTTACATATTGACATTAGTAGTACCGTTAAGCTCTGCTTTGATATCGCGTTATTAAAGGAACGAGTTCAAAAATATATGATATATGTAATTTTTCGTTCACGCAGACTCGATCAAATTGATATGATTTAAAATGAGAACAAGACCGTGAAAAACGATGTCTCAATCGATATTCTGAGAATCTTTAAATATTTCAACAAGAGATCGCAATCGGTCATTAATTCATTCGTACGTTAAATAATCTTTAATAGATAATCTAACAAACTAGACGATGCAAACAATTATATTATTGTATTTCTATAGCCGACGTTCGTAAATGTATCGAGAAGAAGATAATCGAATGAGATAATTGCAATAAAATTTGTCTTTACATGAACGAATGCACAAAATTCTTCGAAACTGACGGTGAATCTATTGGATACACAATCAATTAAATCTCTTTGTAAAGAATGTCAAATAATTCAATTTTTTGTTACGTCTACAAATTTGGATTATTTTTATTAAAATGTAATTCTTAATATTTAGTCTTTTTATACGTAGTGTTATTTTAGTTCCTTGAAATTAATTAGTGCCTTTCCAGTAACGTAATTTAAATGGATCTTGCAGACCTGGCGTCACTAGTTATGTTATAGATTTTGGCGTCAATTTCGGAGAATTAATAAAAATTAATTAAATTTTAGAGCATTAAAATCTAACAATTTTATGATAGATAATTTGAATAGATACGTGATACATACATAACAATATTCGCAGTAAACCAATATCCAAAAACATTCCGACAAGAAGAATTGAAATTTGAAACTGAAATAGAATGATCCGTGTACAAACAATATCCGAACAGCTGACAAGTAAACAGAAACAGGTAAACCCATTGTTAATTCCCAACTACTACGTGCGAAATACAGCATAATTCAACTTTCAAAGTCCGGTATTCGGACAGACTAAGCTGAAGAGAGATGGCTACGTCGGTATGTCACTGGTTCCAGCTGATTGCAACCATTTGTTCGCAAGATATACATTCTGATATCACGCCGGTATATTAAACTATATAGTGTGATTAAACTAATTACACGAGTTTATTCCATCAGATGCTAGCGAAATCTTGAGTTAGTAGCGCGAAAGACGATTCGGAACGCTTGAGAGGAACATTGTAAGTCGTGCTAAAATAATATAAGTACACTTCAAATAATATACGGCAAAACTATATATACTGTTAAGAGTATTATTGAAGAGTATTAACCTCGTTCTTTAGACAAATATATAT